CCGAAGTGAAAGCAGTTGGAAAAGCGTGATCGTCAGGGATCTATGCATTCTTTCTGTGTAAGCGATTGTTGTCAGGTATGTTTGTGTCGACGTTAAGTTGCAGCTTGCTGTTACTCAGATGAACATGCACGTACAGTCATGATTATGTGTGTCCACATTTGTCGAATCTGATGTGCGATGAGAGTTCCAGCGTAGACCCTGCATCCCTACTGACCGGCGATGACTTTGCCTCCGAGGTTCATGATCATGAGAGCTGAGAAGACCAAACGGTTCGGCTCGAAGAAGCCCGGGTACGTCCGATGCTAAGCCTGTAAAGTCAAGCCACGGCTGTGTTTGTTGCGCTCTCTCCCTGACGAGCCAGGGTTTTCTTGTAGATGCGAGGACCGATATACGTGGGACTCGGGACCTTACGGGAATTGACGATGCCATGTGGGCGGGCTTTGGAATGCTCTTGGCACCAATACACATACAGGTCGGGTAGATGAAGTTCAGGTGCAAAGGAAGGGCAGTCGAACGAGGAAGTGCCTGACCGCGAATTCTTTGTGCTGCGAGTTGAGGTTCCAAGAGTCGGGTCGAACCTTTCTTGTGACAGGATCAACCTAGGTCTGCGTGGTTTGCAAGGATTGCAAGGTTTCCTCCCGAAGAGTCAGAATCAGAGTCATGAATGTGTCATGTGCAAGTCAAAAGACAAGGCTAACTTGTACCGAACACACCGAAGAAATCTGAGCCTGAGTGTCCCAATCTGTCCAAGCACGAGCATCGAAGGTGCAGGTTACCAGTTCTGAAACTTGTTTCAGGCCTATCCTTTTCCATAGTGCCATCGATCTGCTGCAGGTGATCAACCCAGACAGCTCTGCAGCTATCACTTGGCAGATAGTGACGAGCCCCTTGATGCAGTACCTTCAAGCGGTGACGATCAAAACTATACAGGCGCCTGTAGCCCTCAATTCCCGCATTCAGTCTCTAGCTCAGGTTGCTGCATGGGCTTTGTGGCACTGGTCACGCCCGTCCAGGCATCGACTGTCTTTTTTCCGGGTGGGGCCCCGGTTTGGCGGCAGAAACCCACTGGGCTAGCGGACAAACCCCCAGCAAGCAAAGCTGATGCCTTAAAGAAGCAATCGCCCCGCCGGATCAGGCAGCCTAGCAATACCGGGTACTTGTACCCCCAAAGCTTTTCCATTGTTGGGTTCCCGGAAGTTTGTTGGAGAATCGATGGCCAGGCTTTTGGACTCAGTCCGATCAAGTCGGGCTTCATTTAAAGCTTTCGCAAAAAAGGCAAAGGCCGGAATTAACAAGTTTCATTAATGTAGGTTGCTCAAGCCAGGCAAACCTTGCTTTCCATCAATCAGGCTTTCACATCACAAGGGCCCGAAGCCTTTCCTTGCTGGAGGTTGACCTTCAGACTCCAGCTTCTCTCATTGCTCCTCCGTGGTGCAGGTTTCAGAAATCAGACCCCACGAAGAAGCACAGGGCTGCACAGAGCCCACACCTTGATCTCCTACTATAGTCGCACGGCCGAGCCTTTTTTGCGGCTTCGACTCGTGAAGCCAGGTTGGGCTTCTTGACATGCGCTTCGATGCGATCTTCTTTTTCAGCTTATGCGCCTCGGCCGACTTGAGAAGGGAAGGTTCAGGACAGTTCAGCCCCTGGGGATGGTGTTGGATGACTCGGACCTGCACATGCTGCCATAACTACCGAGACATGTTGGTGGAGTGCAGGGTCAAGTGTTCTCCGCCTCCATGGCCCGTCCAAGCCGTGCAATCCCGCAGACTCGAAGGAATTCTTTTTTTGCAGGTGTGGACATCGTCTTTCTCATCGACATGATCCTGCAGCGCTTTGGCTCAAAGACCGAACCCGAGATCTTCCGAGCCCCGAGCCCCGAGCCTGCGGCGACCGCGGTTTAGAGCTTAGGCTATGCCAGTGACAATTTATTGGCTTAGCTGTCGTGAAGGCAAGACAGATGAGACCGTTACTTTTTGTCTCGTAGCTCCAGGGCCAACTGCGATCGAAGAGAAGTTAGACAGCTACAGCAGCTGTAAAGGCACATGAGGTGGATCCTTTCGGAAAGCATGCGCAATACGCACTGCCTTGACTCTAATGTCGATACCGGCTCCCAGCACGACCGTCTCCCGAAAAATAGCATCTGCAGGTTCTTCACCATGTACCCGAAGTCCACAGCCCGGGGCGTCGAGTGGGAGCATCGCTGTGACCACATTTGCCACTGGGCAGACCTGAGATGTTTCGGCATTCGTGTCCAATGTGATAGGCCGTCCTGCCGAGCGAGACGGCTTAAGCACTTGTTGAAGCTGCGACCAAGGCGCCCACTACCTCAGGATGCCCGGCTTCAAAGCATGGCAATGCAAGGCATGATGCGCCGAAGGGCAGTGCAATGCAATGCACGCTAGCCGAATTGGGTCGTCGATCACTGGGCCGAATGCTGTCGTCGAAAATCGTCATCGCGGCAATAGAGACCAGTAGCAGCGGCAGCAGCGGCACCGGAGGAGTTGTCGTTGTAATCTTGCGGATGTCGGGGCCATGGGTGATAGGTTGCTGCTACCCGTGCTGATCAGTTGTAACGTGTAGTATTCCGGCCGTTGCGGCACCGTCATGGTTTCGTGCATTCGGTGGCTGGGGCGACCTAGGACGTGGTTCGCTCTCGACTTTGTGACCATCATTCCTTTCGACATCTTCAGCTTGGCTTTCGGCACGGACAACTTGAAGGCCAGGCCAGCTTGTCCGGCACCGGCACCCAAAGCCCACTGCAGTTTACATGCTGTTTATTGTATAATGTAGCTTACATGCCGTTTATTTGTCTATAGTTGTATAACTATATACAGGTACGTGTGTACCTGCTTTTCTGCTGAACGATCTGTCTGTTTTGTCTATTTCTCATCAACTCTCTCTCTCTCTCTCTCTTTCTCTGTATTTCCCTCCTCAGCACACGCCCTGACACGGATAGATACAGAGATACAAAGACAACCGAGCAGACGGACGGAGACGCGTACATACGCACACGCACGCACGCGCACAAAAACACAGACAGACACACAGACACACAGACACACAGACACACAGACACACAGACACACAGACACACAGACACACAACACAGACACACAGACACACAGACA